CAGTGGAAGGGGAGGAAGGGAGGGAGAAGGGAACTGGAATTGTCATGTAATTCAATCTTGTTTGTAATTCAAAAAAAAAAAAGATGTAGGACTCTCAGCTCTAGCACCATGTTTGCTGGCACACTGCCATGTCCAATCATGATGATAATGGACTAAAACTCTGAAACTGTAAGCCACCTATTAAATGTTTTTCTTTATAAAAAAAAAAGGGGGGGCAGTGGAAGGGGGAAATGGGACTCATATCTGATGTCTCAGTGTGAACAGAGATCAGTATACTCAGAAGACTGGAGAGTGTAGGGTTTGATGGTCTCAGTGTGAACATGGAAACTATTCAGAGCAGATTGTAGACTTAGTATCTGATGTCTTGGTGTGATCAAGGGATCAGTAGACAGCAGACTGCAAGCAAATATATTGGCACTCAGGAAGTTTCAAACATCGACGTTTGGATTCCCTCTCAAGATGATATTACAGGCACCTACCTCCAGTGGACAGAAACAGTAGGTGCTATGGCTTACAAACTGAATCACACAATCTTCAAAGGAACAGGGATTTTCATATAATGTTGAAGAGGCTGTGACCTAAAATCGGTGTCAGGGAAGTGAGGCCACCAACAATCGCTGTACTTAGAGTTTTGTGGTGTAGAGAAAAAAAAAATGGCCTTCTACTCAAAGACTTCAGGACTGTTTTAAATGTCAGCTTTGTTTTAAAACTCAGTGGATGCACTGATCTGTGAAGATGTACTATCATGTAAGATTTATATATGAAAATTGCTTCACACTGCATTGGCTCCCCAAATCCAGCTTGGAACTCCATTGTGCACAGTGGTAGAAACGGTTAGCACAAGGTTGGCTGTTAAGTCTTTAACCTCAAAATACCTTTTCCTGAGAATACAGAATGTGGAAAAACAGCACAAAGATCTGGGAATATAGAAACTGTCATTACTGTGAAAGATCAATGCAAAGTTCAGAAGGCAAGGAAGCAGAGAACTGGCTGGGGGTCCAGTGGCTCATGCAGAAGTCACCATCAGCTACAAGGACTGTTGTGTCAGGGAGACATGTGGCATTCCTAGACTACAGACAAAAGTATGGCTCAATGGTGCTAAAATTTAGGAGAAAGCAACTAAAAGGAAGAATTAGAGTTAACCAAGCAAAGGGTGGAGGTAGGAGGAGGGGCAGGATATGCAAATAAGGGGTTGTATGTTTTGTTTTGTTTTGTTTTGTTTTGTTTTTGAGGCAAGGTCTTGATATGTAGCCCTAGATAGCTTGGTATTTACTATCTAGCCTAACCTGGCCTCAGACTCATGATCTTCCTTTTTCTATGTTCTGAACGCTGGGATTGCAGGTAGAGACCACCATGCCCATCTATAGAACTCCTGTGACTGCAGTGTAGAGGTATGAGAAGAAGGTAAGAACTGGTGCCCATGGCAGGAGAACCTCTCAACCTGATGGCTCAAAGGGAAGCAGGAGTGAACCTCTGATAGGATTTGTACTTTTGTTGTCATGGATGAAATCAGCTAAAAGGCTCTTGGTAATCCAAGAGATTCAAATGGGGGTGGGGGTGTGGAACACACCAGGAGGGCGGATTCTTAGGCAACAAAGGGAAGGGCTGAGCATGATTCCCAGCTCTGCCTTCAGGTGGCAGCTCATTTCAACAGAGATCCCTGGAGGAAGAACACAGTTAGGAGAGAAGTAGGTTCAGTTTAGCATGGGTTTGACAGAAGTGTTTGTTGATCCACAAATGACAAGTCTAGCAGGCATTTTGAGATGAATCTCAGAAGGGAAGAACTCTGGGCTGGAGAGAAAGATCCTGCATCAGCATTATACAGATGACAAGAGTCTATCTCATCACTTAGAGAAAGGATGTAGAACTAGACTAGAAGACTGTATGACCCTAACATACACCAAGAGACAACACAAATAGAATTTAATTCACTACAAATTAATATGCTAGATATATGCCTGGTGGTATATATCTTTAATTCCAGCACTCAGGAGACAGAGGCAGGCTTATCTCTGTCAGTTGAGGTCAGCATAGTCTACACAGTGAGTTAAAGGCCAGCCAGGGCTACATAGTGAGATTCAGTCTCAAAGGAATAAATGAATAAAAATACATTTAGAAAACAGGAAACACACAAAAACACAATATATACTTAGGATTTTTACAATTCCAAGCCAACTCTTATTAACAAAATAGAAAAACAATCTCTCCCCTAAGCCCTCCAGGTACTTGAGATTTACTGAACTATTAAAAATGCTAGTTGAAACATAAAATTTCCCTCAATAGCCATACTTTATCTAATTAACATCACCATGCTACAAGCAAGATGACTGAACATCAAAACATTAATTAATATTGGGTTGTATACTTTTAAAATTATCTAAGAACTGAGCTTTGCAGAAGGATGTCATATATTGTAATGCAAACACAGCTTGATTACCAAATCGGAAAGTACACCATATTAAAAGGGTATTAATCTCCACTCAGATCCTCATGATGTACCATAGTCAAATATCAGTGAATAACTTTTTCTTTGCTCAAGTCAGAATATCTCAACTCATTAAAAATAAAAACAATGCAATCAACATTTTTACTCACACTTTCAAGCCTAGATTCTCTGTCTTCCTCTGCCATGTTCACTGACTAGCAGAAGCAGAAATCAGTGTCTCAGAACTTCCTACATGGGATGGCTGGAAATGTGGCCAAAAATGAAGTAATTACAAATGTGGCTCATTGGCCAGTAACAGCAACAATAATCCCATTTGCCTTAAAAGCCTAGTGCATGTGAACTGTGTGTTTCCAGACAAGCTCCTTATTTTATGAGTTCAGAGAGAACCTTCCACTGCAGCCCATACAGGTTGGACTATGAAAACCAGGCTCACCTTAAGCTTGAGGGAATCCCCCTGCTTCAGGTTCTCCAATGCTAAGATTACAGATTTGGGGCACCAAGCCCAGCCAGACTAGCTGGGTATAGAGATGCATACCTGAAATCCCAGTATTTGGGAGGTGGAGGCAGAAGGATCTATAGTTCAAGGCTACCCTCCCTCAGAAATATAGCAAGTTAGAGACCAACCTGGTCTACATGGGACCCTGTTTCAAAAAAAGAAAAAAAATTTTTAAAAGTAAATTTAGACTTTAGAGGTAACAACAGAACAATTGTGAAGTAAAAAGATGCCTTCTAGCTAGGAGTTGTGGCCCAAGCCTTTAATCCTAACACTTAGAAAGCTTCCAGGGCAGGAAAATAGCAATTCTTCCCTCGTCTTAAACAACATGCCTGTCATTTCTAATTATACGTAAAAATTGGAAATGAGTTGCAGCTCCTTGTGTCATAATGTATAAGGAGCTAATACATCTGCTTGCCTTGAGTCTTGATATGACTGAACAGGTTTGATGTTTTTGTTGTTTTTTTTTATTTTCTTTCTTTTTGTTTTGTTTTTTTTTAACTCAATACAAACCTTTTCACAATCACTTCAGCTGATTTCAAAGACTGAAAAGACAGAATCATTTTTTCCTACCTTTCCAATCTCAGGGTTAACCCTCTGAAGAGAAAGTAGAGAAACCACCCCTGCTGCTGTGCAGGCCACAGAACTGAAATGCCACATATGACCATTCTTCAGGATGAGCTCATTTAACTAAAAACAGTTTCCTCACTACCACACTACATATTTTTAAGTGATCTTTAATCTAATGTGTATGGAACTAAATCTGTGTGTGAATTTTTTTATTGAAAAAGGTATTTCTTTTAATCTGTAAGTTAGCATATATTGAATCATGATTTCACACACACACACACACACACACACACACACACACACACACATTTCCCCAGACTTAAGGTTACTTATAAGTATATACACATATATAATAGAATATGCTATGCATATATTTAAACATTAAGTATCATTTTTCACTAGTAAAAGGAAGCAACTTCATCTATATGTAGCATGAGTTCTAATAGGTCTTAATAATAAAAATCTGGAGTCATATATCAGGGTAAATGCTGAAAGGTTCGATAAGGAGCCAGTTACAAGAGAGACCTCTTACCTCTACTGAATCCTCAGACAAAAGGGACGATCCTCTCCCTATGAATCCTCAGACTGCATTGCTCCTCAAACTGCCATGAGCTCCTATCTTCTCCTGCCTTATATTCCTCTCTGCCCAGCCATATTCCTTCCAGTCTCTACCTCCTTAGTGCTGGGATTAAAGGCACGTCACTTCAAGTGCTGGGATCACCTTTCTGTGAGCTCTGTTTCTCATTTAGACTGGATCAATTCTTGTAGCCCAGGGTGGCCTTGAACTAACAGAGATCCATCTGCCTCTGCCTCCTGAGTGCTGGGATTAAAGGTGTGTGCCACCACTGCCTGGCCTCTGTGGCTAACCAGTGTGGCTAAAGATCAAGAGTGAAATCTGATCTTTAGGTAAGCTTCATTTGTTACATCATAAACAAAATATCACATCTATGTTTGTAATGGGAAGAATTCTACATTACTGGCCATGAGAGGTAAGCAAGTGATGTTGGTATAAAGGTAATGGAATTGATGTGCTATTAAAGCAGACTATTTGTGGCAGAACGGGACCCACTAAGAGGATGGCAGGGGGTTAAGGAAGGGCAGTAGAAAAGACAGATGCTTAAGAACACAATGAAATGACATAAATGTATGAAAATACCAATCATTTTATATGCTAACTTCAAAATTTAACTTAAAAACCATACTAAAAACCAAGGTGAGTGACCTTCTGCTCTTGCCCAACTCCTGTCCAAAGTCCCATTCACCCCGATCTCTCTGGGAATTGCGCCTGCTTGGAATAGACCCGCCCAGCCAGAGAGGAGCTCCCTGAGTCTGAAAACACCTAACTCTTCTTTCCTACTCTGCCGACCTGTCCCATGCCAAGGTGAGTGACCCTCTGCTCTTGCCCAACTCCTGTCCAAAGCCACATTCACCCGATCTCTCTGGGCTTGTGCCTGCATGGAGTAGACCCAGCCGGCCAGGAGGAGCTCCCTGAGTCTGAAAACACCTAACTCTTCCTTCCCACTCCACCAACCTGTCCCATACCAAGGTCACAAGCAGAGATAGAGAAACCCCACCTGCATCCACTGGAAGAAGATATGGGAAGAAGACAGAATAAGAACTCACTCAACAACATAAAGGCCATATGACACCACCAGAATCTAGGGACTCCATACCGGCAAGATCTGAAAAGCTAGAAACAAAAAATGAAGAAGAGATGGACCTCAAAAATTATCTCGGAAAGATGATAGAGACCTCTAAAGAGGAAACAAGAAAATCCCTTAAAGAAATAGAAAAAAAAAAACAAGCAAAAAATTACATGAAATGGAGGAAAAGACGGACCAATAAATTCAAGAAATAAACAAATCTCTTAAAGAATCTAAAGAAACCCAAGAAAAAACAATGAAACAAGTGAAGGAAGCACTCGAAACAGTTCAAGGCATGAAAGTGGAAATAGACACAATAAAGAAAACAGAATAAGGCAATGCAGGAAACAGAAAGGCTGGAAAAACGATCAGGAACTAAAGATGTGAGTATAACCAATGGAATTCAAGAGATGGAAGAGAGAATCTCATGTGTTGAAAACTCTCTAGAGGATATACAGTCATCGACTAAAGAAAATCTCAAGTCCAACAAATCCCTAACACAAAATATCCAGGAAATACGGGACACCATGAAAAGACCAAACCTAAGAATAATAAGTATAGAAGAAGGTGAAGAAACACTGCTCAAAGGTACAGAAAACATATTCAACAATTGAAAACTCTGAAAGCCAGAAGGTCTTGGATAGAGATCCTACAAGCACTAAGGGAGCATGGATGTCAACCCAGACTACTGCACCCAGCAAAACTTTCAATCGCTATAGATGGAGAAAAGATATTCCATGACAAAAACAGATTTAAACAATACATATCCACAAATCCAGCACTACAGAAGGTTCTGGAAGGAAAACTCCAACCCAATGAACATAACTACACTCACAAAAACATAAGAAATGGATAATCCAATTTTACCAGACACAAAAAGAAACAGGAGGACGAAATCCACACACAATGACACCACCAACAATAAATCCAAAATAAACAAGAACCAACAATCATTAATATCCCTAAATGTCAATGGTCTTAACTTACCCATAAAAAGATATA